TCAGTGGTCACAACAGAAAGGCAAATGTCAGGAGGTAGGAGGGAGAGGGGAAACAGAACAGGGAGTATCACAGCTTGTGCGTGGTGCACAGTTCTGGTTCTCACAGCCCAGAAAGGGGCTGCAGAACCGGGAGAGGTCTGGGGAGGTCTGCAGGGACGGTGGGGCTGCAGACTCGGCCGCCTCAGGCTGCAAGCAAGGTGATGGGAGGGAAGGGAAGCATGATACAGGTTTATAAGCTCATGAATGGCATGGGGAAGTGGGCAGTGGTTGTTCCTGCCTCTTCCACTACGAGGATTTGGAGGTACCAAATTTAGGTAGCAGGTGGAAAGCGTCAGAATATGACAAAAAACTACCTTCTACCCTGTGCGCAAGAGCTGTGGACCTCCTTGCCACAGAGCTGTAAAGAAATCTGTTAACTCCATCCGTTAACTCAGCACACAGGAGCCATTTATGCAATCTCTGATTCACAAAGTGCTGGAAGCTGGGTGTGTGTTTTAAGAACTTGCTTGCTCCCTTCCCATGCGCTTCCCCATGCATCTCCTTTTGGCTGCTGCAGGACCTCTGACCTCACCCAGCACGGCTGCTTCGTTTGATGTCATGGTTCTCAAGACCTCCGGGATGAAGTGTAGGATCTGGCTTTTTGTGTCTTTACCGTTGGAAATCCCTCCATGAGGTTTAAAAAAAACACTAAAAAATAGGGACGAAATTAAATGTTGAGGTTATGTCATTTATGAAGAAGTGCTCTAATACCACAGTGATGAATGCCATATAACTGTCAGGGTAGGTAGGTCTGCTACCAGCAACCTTGCAAGTGACCTGTTTGACTGCTGCAAGGAGCCATTAAAAGGGCAGCTATTAGCGAGCTTAGTAAAAACCAGAGCCCAAAGCACTCTCACATCAAAGTGTTATATTACAGAGGCTATTACTGTAGTTCTAATTGGCGAAAATTTGCTGTGACTTACTCTCCAGTCAAGCGCATTAACTTGCAGTTGGACAGATTTCTTTGTCCGTAATTTGGTTTAACACATGATGAAACCAGTTGATGGAAACACGGTTTACCAGATGCTGTATCGTATATTTTTGAACTGATGGGAATACGTGCCCGTGCAAAAGCCAGGGCAGGCTGCAGAGGAAACAGGCACAACTCTGTGGCGTACAGCTGTGGGTTTGTGGAAGGAGAGGAGGAGGAGAAGCTGCGGAGAGCCTCTTGTGAGGTTGCCAAGGTTACAGGTGCTATTGCTTCTATAGGTGAGTGGCTTGGGCATTCTCTGCTGACAATTGGTATCGGCTGGTTTTGTCTCAGATAACGGAATTTGCATTTTAATTAGATGGTTGCATTTGTCAACACTGAAGCATAAAATATAAGGCATTAGAAGCTTTTCACAGGACCAGCATAAGGACTTTGAAAAAAATTACAATAGCAGCATTTACCCCAATAGTTTATTTTTTTTTAATGCATTCAAGAGACACGAATCCTGTTACAAAATCTCAATGGATTAGCCACAAAACTTCCTAGCTGTTTAGATCCTGGTATAAACCTTGCTTTTAGAAGCTAGGATTCCCCGTTTCAGGCATGGGGAAGCCAAGAGCTGCACGCCAATCTGGTGCTCAGTGGGAGAACTGAGGATTCACGCTGAACTCGCTGCTTCGAGACATTGCTGAGACAGCAGCAACTGTGCCTGAGCCCTGGGAAAGAAATCTCTGCAGATAGCAGCGTGGTATGGCTCGGGCGGAGTCTGACAGCATCAGTATATACTTTCAGAAAACAAATGGATGTCGTGGTAGATCTCAAGCTGCGCTCGGAATTGGTACAATATATCATACTGAATTTTCTGACGGGTTTAAGAGTGATACGGCAAGATCTTCATCTGCTGTGAAGACGTGCAGCACAGCTGACTTCCTCAGGGCTACAGAAGTGTGTGCAGTCAGCAGCGAGGCCCGGGAGGTTTGTGCCGTAGGTCAGACCAGCTCAGACGAGCCACTGCTGCAGCGAACGAGTCCCAGGTGCTGAAGCCGGGCAGGGCGGTGGTGTGGCCAGGCAGGAGCTCGGCAGGCGGTGAGCCTGCGTTGTGGGCCGAGGAGGAGAGACTCGCTGCTCCGGCTACAGCAACACCTGGTCCGAGAGCCCGCTGCCACCTTGGGGTTGGAGCAGCCCCGATTTACTGGGAGGTGCTTCTCACGTGCCAAGGCAGGTGATTTTGCAAACTTTTTTACAGCTCACAATATGTTTCGCCCTTTGTGATGGGCAGCTGCAGATCTTGCTACATCAATATAAACTGCCCAATGTTAAGTAAAGCAGTAGTTTCAGCAAATGCCATGCCTTCGGGGCAGCTTAAACACCCTGAATGTGGAGGAGACACGTGCTTCTGCCTCCCTCTGCTAAGGGAGAGCGAGAAAACAGCACTCGGGAGCAACAGCAGCCTTTGTGTGCCCGCTCTGCCTCCTTGCCCCACCTTCTGCTGAACATCTGCAGTTCCTCAGCTCCCCTGCTGTCCTTTTAGGCAGACGGAGAACCGTTAGCTGCTTCGTCAGCACCAACCGGCCAGCCGGCTGACTGACGGGGAAGGGCTGGCGACAACCCGAGGGTCCCACTGTTGCTCCCCCGTGGATCCCCCCCATCGCTGCCAGCTGGTCTCCTCTGGCCAGCCAGCCCTGTGCGCCTGGTCTCTGTGACGGCTCCTCGGAGGAAGAGGAGCGGGATGAGCGTCGCCTGCCTGGTGGGAAGGGAGCCACGGAACACCAGGAGCCGGGACTAGGTCCTACAGCTTCAAAATTGAATGAGGTCTGGGGTGATGCTCAGGGCTTTTTTCCCTAGAAGTCTGAGGATTTGGAGGAATGATAAAAGGAGAGCTGTGGAATTATTTTCCCGTGTTTGGACACTATATTGTACTGACATTTATGTGAATGGTCTTACAGTGATACCATCAGTTCTGCCTTTTCATTGATGACCTTTTCTGTAACATTAACCACAATATTGTGCGCACGCAATATTGCAAAGAAAAAGGTGAGGCAGTGATGCCAGTGGAGTATTGCCAGTCTAAGTACTAGATAGGATTTGCAATTACAGTAGCGATGAGTGTGAACGCAGAACCAGAAAATAGGCAATTTTCTGTAGAAAAGTTTCATGATACTAAAAAAATACCTAGCTTGCTCAGTAACATAGTTTGTTGCTGTCATTTAGTTTTGTAGGGTCGCTTTCTCATGTAGATGGTTATTGCTCTTCTGTGGACTTACCAAAGCAATGATGTTCTCCCATATTAAATTGTTTAACAATTCAGGGCTGACTTGTTGTATCTTTACGTTTAATAACTTTCTGATGTAAGAAGGACTCATCACGCACGGTGTTAAGGTGCTGCTGATTGTGAATGGAGGCATTTGCAGTCTGAATCCTAGTGAATTGTATTACGTGAGCTGTACTGTTTTTACTTCATTCCCTGGTTGGATTTTATAACCTAGCATAGCCTGCAACATTTACTTTCCCAGAATGAAATAAATCCTGCACAGGGGATTGACATCACTTTTTTTCCTCTTGTGCCTTTTACATAGTGTTTGAATTTCAAGTGGTTTTGTAGGTTTCATACAAATTCTCCATGGAAAGTAGATTCTGATTTTAATATTTTAACTCTTTGTATCCTATAGCTTTGTGAATCATGGGGCTGTTACAGGCCAGCATGCAGAACACTCAGGTTTCTTTACCTAATGTGCGGGTGAACCCGTCTTGGGATGGATGCTTGTTAGGTGCAAGGAGAATACTGTATTTGACTGAAACAGAATTGCGCAGATTAGAGTTAACATCTTTTAAAGTTTCACCAAGGAGAGCACAGTTAATAACACTACTTTGTCTCAGCCGAAAGCTAGGGCACCTCCGGGGGTGCAGTGGGGCCCAGGAGCTTGTCTTCCACCCTGAGGTCCTCCGTCCCATGTTGTCCAGCCCAGAAGCACTTTGCCTGGGCAGACTGAGGGGGCTGTGATCGGAAGCATACCACAGTAACACGAAGTTAGTAAAGCAGGTAACTTTACATGAGATATTTTGCTATCCATTCTGCGTGCAAAGCCATGAATGGGCCAGAAGCCACCCAAAACTAGGGAAGAAGCCACATGTTAGAGATCTTCGTCAACAGTCAGTCTTAAAACAAAATGCTGCCTAAATGTTCCAAGGGTTAATGGGTATGATGTGGTGAAGCAAATTTCTGCAAGTCTTGCAGGTCTTTTCACTGAGGAAAGGCCTTTGTTCTTGTCAGTTTGGCAACTCATTCTCAGGCTGCAGTCTCAGTACACAAGCACATAACCTGATCCAAGGAGATAACTGTTAAAATTGATTTGTGAACTGTTTGCTTTGTGCTTTAAAATGCGCCGTGTGCACCTACTTTTGGTTTTCAGAGGAAGCACTTCAAAAAAATAAACACGTTGCCTTAGAAGAAGCAGCCACACTGTTGGCCTCGGTAGACTTACTGACTACGTAAGACGGAATATTTCATTTTATACACAAAAAGCATCTTTATTCAGAAGAGGCCGGAGCTGTTCCATTCTACTGGAAAAGGACTATTTTTGCATGAAATGGACAATAAACTAATCTGATATGTTGATTACTACACAAAAGACCATGCATGTTTCCCATGGAGAACAAGTAATAGCATTTCTAATCAGCTCTCTAGTAGCTTAGAGTTGCACTGTTGTATTATTGCTGGCTTTTTCTCTCGCTTAGATCTGTATTTGTCTGCGTTGTTGGTTTGTACCCAGGTCTCTGTCACGGCTCCGTGTTTCGCAGAAACCCCGTGGAGGACAGGACAGCCCATGCTGAAAACGCCCGGCCGTGGCGGAGGGCAGGGCCCTGCTCCCTGTGCTGCTGGCGTGCCCTGGGCACGAGGCTCATGTTTGCGCACCGTGCCCAGCGTTGCTCATTTTGTGTTAGGTTTTACGTCCTCGAGACTGAAGCTGAACGGTGCTGGATTGCAGTGTGCTGTAGGTACCGCATCATGAGCTCTTTCTTTTTTTTTCAGGCCCAAACTGCTTTGCAGAAACGACCGTCATTCCAGCAGGCCGGGAGGTGAAAACCGATGAATGCACTATATGTCACTGCACTTACGAGGAAGGCACTTGGCGAATTGAACGGCAAGCGATGTGCACTAGACATGAATGCAAACAGATATAGGACATCTACAAACCTAAGTACTTTTCGTGGTTTTTATAAAATAACTCACAGCAGTGAGTACCCTAGATGACCCAGGGAAATCTGAATGAGAAGATTCTGGTGAGGAGCAAAGAATAAAACCTTGATATTTCGGTTTTCAAAGTAACATAATACTGCAAGGCGAAGAAGTGCATATATTTAAAACGTTTGGACATAAGAATACCTGTCTTAATAAATGTGTTATTTTCACAGTCAGTACACTAAAATACACTCTATAAAATATTCTATGTATTTCTATAATACCATTATAGAGCTTAAAAATAAATGTTTTATATAGACAAAACAGATTAAAGTACTGTATCGTTGCCTGTCCTGTTGTACACCATGGCTAAAACATTACATTTCTGTTCTAGTTTCATCATATGAGGGTTCTCTTGGGAGTTTTTTGGTTTGGTTTTCGTTGGGGTTTTTTTACTTCAGTTTAGTGGGCCAGGAAAGAGCCAGCATATGACAAAATTTTGAAGTTCTTGCTTTTGAAAAAAAATGGAGTAGAATATGCTTTCAGAGAACATGCGCTCATTTATGAATATTGCTGCAGTATAGAAGTGGGTCATCTCCGTCTCTCAGTTCCACTGGTGCATATCTACTGGTCCACCGCTGATAGAACTTGGAGCAGTGGGTAACACGAAACTGGTCTCTCATAGCTGTTGTTACAAAAATTTAATCAAACGAAACCAATTCCTAGTATTCCGCTCAGACATAACACATTACAGCAGGACAAATTTCTCTGTGATGTAAACAGTATCGCGTCGCCCAGCTGGTGGAAGTGATGGTAAGTAACCGCACGGCATCGTTAACGTATCGCGTCTCGGACGGGCTGGAGCAGCCAGAGTGAGCCGCTGACGTGGCTCCGTGTTGCGAATCCTTGGGCGGGAGAGCTGGTGAGCAGCCGCGCTGGCCCCTGGCCCTGCTCTTGTCACCTTGCTGGTGTGGGTTCAATTTTTTGGTTCTTTCTGGCAGCCCGTGCGGGGTCTGTGACGCGGTGTGTTGAGGAGCAAGGTTTTGAGCCAACTCTTTGAATCTGTCAGAGGATGGCAGCACAGAAGCTGACCCTGACTACAGATGAGATGAGTCCCATCTCCCTGCTTCAGCTATCAGCAGCCTTTGCTTAGATTCGTGTTGGTTTTAGTTTAGTTTTTGCTTAGATTCATGTTGGTTTTAGTTTAGTGTATCACCAAATCCAACTTTACATCTGCTTTGAATACCTGTTAGGGCAGCAGCTCAAGAAAACACTTAAACATGGGCTTACCTGTGAATTTTTGCTAGAGGGAAGACTTAATGAATCAACACCTAAAACCAGAAGACAATTGCTTTAAATTCCCACCTACCCTTTCCTACTTTCTGCCATGTGTAACCTGGCTATCAGGTTTGTGTCTGCACACCATATGTTTCCTGGTGCTTCTGAAGACCGTGGGACGTTTGCAAGTGCCTTCAGTGGATCCCAGTTACCACCTCACGTCTGTGTTTTGAGCGTGTGTGTGTCTGTCGCTGGCATCATTTCCCCCAGTGATGGTATGGGAGAGGAAGAGGAGGGACAGCATTGGAAATCAAGGGACAGTCTCTTGCACAGACAGTCCTGTGGCAAAGTCGGGCATGGTATTGGTCTAGTCACAAGAATGGGGGAGGGGAAGACAGATTATTGGGTTTGGATAGTTTTAAATCACACAAAAATCAAGTTAAATAATAACTTTCCCTGAAGTGGATGTGCACGTATGTAAAGGTTGTAGTGGAAACACTTTTCTCCAGTAGCTGCAATTCCTCGCAGGGGTAGAGGAAATGTTATACCTGGGTTGTCACTCGGTCTGCTGGTTGCAGTGAGGGGTGACACAGAGTGCAGAGTATTTTTTGTCTTGGAAGATGGACAGAAGTGTTGCATCTCTCATTTGTATGTAGACCATAAGTACACTTCCAGATACAAACAAATACCTGATTTAGCCATTTTTGTAAAAAGAGTACCTCATTCATTGTATGCTTCTCATTAAAACAGTGAGACGCAGCTAATTTGGGAGTAAAGGCAGTAAGATTTTGCTAAAAATTGTAATTAAGTATACCTACCCTTTTCATAAGATTCAGCAGTGATAGGACAGAGAGCTAGCTCCGGAATCAGTAAGATCCATACGTCGTGGCTGTGTAGGCTTCTGCTTACTGAAATCAAGTGTCTGTGCAGCTCTGAGAACGTGCCATGAGTGCCAGTGCTCTTCCATGCACATCTCCTCAAGACGAGCAGAAGTATCCGCTAGGAAGCGGCTGTGCGACACGAGTAAGAGCAGAGAAGGTGGACTTGCAGCTCGGTGTGGGATTGCCTTACCAAATAGGCTGGTTACTGTCTCTTAAAGAGACATGCACGTTTTCAGTGAAATTGTGAGAGACGCAGAATTTGTGCCTGTCAATGTGTGGCCATAATGTTTCCGTTTTAGGAAATCTCACCTCAGACTAGTCACCCGTTGCTTCTCCTTCACTGGAGGTTCAGCCTTATTCTCTTTCCCAGGGCTTGAATTTCTGTTCTTTTGGGAAGTTCTGTCTCTACTGAAGTACTGGGCACAAAGTTAAAGGATATTTTAGTTTGTGTTTCTAGTGTAGGTTTTATAAATATTTTCTATTGCACATTTTTTCCAAAATACTTTTCCATCTTTCAGTCCTGGTGCAAACACATTAATGTCATCTTTACTGTAAGAATGGTTGGTCCTTTCCCATTTCATAGGGAATTTCCTGGGCAAGTTCACCTTGACACCCAGCTCTGTGGGTAGTTTCTTAAAAATATTACATTTTGAGATGTAATTATTTTTCTTCTTGAGAAATAAACTTCCAGTCTTTTGGGATCTTTTCCATATGTCGTGAGGTAGAAGTCATAATGAGCTTTGGACCTTGTTTTTGCTGAGACCAGTGGCCACATCTGGCTTTGGCCTGCAGTGTTACCACGGGAGAGCTCTTTGGTTCTCCCTGCGGTGGGGGAATGGGCTGAGTGACTCTTCTCGGGCAGACCTTGCCAGCCTGGCCCGACGGTGGAACCGCAGCTGGCGAGCAGCGCGTTGTGCGTTGGCTTGGGTAGGTAGTGGGACAGGGGACAAGACAGGGAGAGTAAAAGCGAGAAAACTCGTGGATATAGTTTGATAAGTGGAGAAGCAGAAGAAAAAACCGAAAGCAGTGATGCAATAGCAATGGCTCACCACGTCCCGTAGGCAGAGCGGCTGATGGCCAGTTCCCAAGCAAAAGGCAGCTGGCCTTGCCCGAGCCTCGCTCCTCCCCGTTTCCACGCTGAGCAGGGCGTTACACGGCGTGGGATGCCCTTGGGGCTAGTGTGGGTCACCTGCCTGGTTGTGTCCCCCCCGAGCTCCTGTGTGTCCCCACCCTTCTCGCTGGGGGTGAGGGAGGAAGAGAGAAGACCTCAGCGCTGTGCACACCCTGCTCAGCCATAGCCAAAATGCTGGTGTGTGGTCACAAACCTACAACGCGGCACCTACTGCGAAGAACAACCCAATCCCTGGCAGAGCCACTACGCGGTAATGCCGTCGCAGCCCCAGCGCAGAGGCCAACGCACCGAAGGAACCCGAGAGCCGAGTGCCGGCCGGTGACCGCAGCGAGCAGCGCCTGGCCCTTGTCGGGGCGCCTGGGGAGCCAAGGTCTGCAGCCTGCTGCGCAGGCGCACGGGGGCTTGAAGCAGAAACCTTCCTTTCTCGGAGTGGAAAGTGTGGGAATTGAAAGGTTTAAAGGTGAAAATTGGCCATTGTGGAACACAGTTGGAAAGCATTAACTTTTAAACTAATTTAACATCTAAGCAAAAAAACAGAACTGCTGTGGTGGCCACATGTGCTTACCTAAATGTTATGGTTTGGTCATGCAATATACCTGTTCGTATTTAATCTTAAAAAGTAGGAGAAAAGCAGTCTGCATCATTTCCAGTGAACCAAACTCCAGAGAATACCGGCTTCCCTGCTGAAGCTGGTTTTTGCTTCAGTGCAAACAGTCGTGTGCTTCCTGCGTATGAGGAGGTCTGCAGCTTTGCAGGTGGGTTGTGTCTGCAAAAGCTGTGTTTCTGGACACACAGGTAGCTCATGAATGATTTTGTATTTGAAGGTCTGTTGCTTGGGTAATGAATGTTCTGTGATGTTCTTATGCAGCTGCATTGGCAGGACTATGAGGTTTCTGCCTCTACTTCACTTGTTTCTGCTTATTTCCCAGTTGAAATCAAGACAAATTAATTATTGGTTTGGCCTCATCCTTTTTTGTAGGAGTTCACTACACATGAATTTGGCTTCAAACCTGTGTAAGCGGGTGCCTGAAGAGATGATATTCTAGATGGTTTTAGGTAATTTTAAAATTGCAGCGTTAGTGTGCAGTAGGATTCTGTATACTACTCATTTAAACCGCAAAAATGGAAGTGCTGGTATTTGCTTAAATACTTGAGATTTAAAAGGGAAAAGGGGAAAAAGAGGAAAGACACGAGACAGGAGGCAGAGGAGCTGAGTGTTACAATAGGAATGTTCAAAAAAAATAAAAACCTAGCTACAGTGTCATATGGAGATTTCATAGGGAGATTTTCCAAGTGTATCGTTAAGAAAAGTACATGAGAAATGTGTTTGGGCACAAACTAAAATACAGGAAATTCTAGTTGGAGATAAAAAAAACCCCACCCATACAATGAAGGTGATTGAGTGCTGGAGGATGTTGCCCAGCGACGTCGTGGAGTCTCCTTCCCGGAGAGCGGTCAGAGCCCGGCTGGACACAGCCCCGAGCAGCCTGCGGTAGCCGAACCTGCGTTCAGCAAGGCGTTGGACCAGGTGATCTCCAGAGGTGGAAAACCAAAAGCCAGGTTTAAATGACATTGAATTAAAGTCTTTAATACAAATAAGAAAGAAGAAGATAGGATGAAAGGTTCCCTCACTTTGGAAAACAATCTCTCTGTTCTCACATGGTGCAATGTAAGCAGTACTGTCATGATTGTAAAGTATTTAATGTTACTTCTGATGGCAACTTTAATATCTAAACTGTGATAGCTCCATAAAACGCAGGAGGCTTTGAAAGGCACATATTATTTAAGAATCTAATGCAATCCAACTGAACGCTCCATTTATTCCTCTTATCAGGCAATGAATTTTCTTCACAGCCTGTGTTACCATGGGTTTTCTGTCTGCAAAAATACACCTTCTGCCCTGTGTTCCTGCTGCATTGAGAATGAAACACAAACCAGGGAGACAGCACTGAACTGAGTTTCACAGACTTTTTTTTCTGGCTATCCAAGAATTCAAATTTTTCATCTCTTGTTGATGAAAGTAAGTACTACTACAGAAAGTTTGTAACTT